TTTTTTTTAAGCCCAGGGAAGAGGCCAAGGACCACACCCGCGGTGATTGCTGGTAGCGGCAGCCAATGGTTGTCCTGACAGGATAGGCCACCTACCCTACCCATCCCCACGTTAATACTTCCAGCGCACCCCCTGTCCCTACTATCCTGCCTCAGTGTGACCAGCACTCAGGGCCATCACCCTAGTACCAGTATTGAGGGCAACTTGGACCAGACAGCAGTGACAAGCACCAGGGCTGGGCCAACCTCCCAGCCCTAATGGAAGCGGAAGCGGACGAACCTTGCCGTCCGGAACTTCGGATGCCAGGCTCATGCAATCTTCTACAGGCCCAATTCAGAGAGTCTACCCAGCAGGATTACCTAAGCAGGGCAAGGCCAGCGCCCGCGGACACATCCTACCATCCTTCCCCTAGCTTACCCAAGGCTAGGTGGAACTCAGACTATCCGGAGCGACTTATATCCCTACCCTACCCTAGAGCTAAGCCATGCATGCGTAGACCCCGTCATATACCTGATAGACCCCCCCAGCCCAGTATAGTAGTTGTGTGTATATGTGTGTGGTCAGAAGCTATGTATGTTTGTATGGGCCCATAGGGCCATGTTTTTGTGTGTCCCGAAGGCTATGTGTGCTCTGTATAACTGTATAGCGAGATATGTGCAGTACTATGTAGAGGGAACTATGTGTTTGTTTGAAGAGATGACAGACCAAGCTGGACAAGAACCCCCCTCAAGGTCCCAAGCCACCCTCCCTACTCTCCCCATCGCTATCCACTTTGCTTCCCTCTTCCCCCCTTGTTGTTGTTGTCCCTCTCTCTGCTTCTCTCTAGTACTATCTCCTCTCTCAAATCCCTGCCGCACGTACTACTCTGCCATGCCGTGACGTCTCACCGTTTGGGGGGAGGGAAGCAATGCAGATAACAATGGGAGAGTACCGTCGGAGACGGACGGGGGGGTGGGCGGCACATACAGAGGGAGACTATGTTCGGATGAGAGTGAATCTAAGCGATGAAGCAGTTACTGGACACAGAAGAAGAAGAAGAAGAAGAAGAAGAAGAAGAAATGGATGGAGGCGGAAACCGCCCCTTCGAAACTTTGACTTCTTCGTCGAACATTGCCTTCCCAGGCCATCTTGATAGGAGCGCTTGACTCTGCTGCCTAACCCTGCCTTGGATCAAAGGATCCGCAGAACCCCTTTCGGTCTGGGTTGCGCAACTTGTGCTGTTGTCCCCCACACCACCTTCACCAACCCCCCCTATTCTTGCGACCACTTTAGTCTCCCCAACAGAGTATATATCGTCAAATAATAAATATATATCGTCAAACAGAGCTGCCTGGTAAATTGTGCGGCATTTGAGTTACCCGGTGACAGGCACACAACCCAACAGTCTTTTCTGCTGCGGCCCCCTCCATCGCCCGGGTCATACCCCACTCAATTGCCATTCGAGAAGGGTTATGGGAGCAGGTAGGAAGATTTACTCACAGTTTATAGAGGCTTCGCCCCGCCTACCTTCTTCCCCCGAATAAAATGTTCGGTCATTATAGCTGTATTTGAGAGATGTTTCAGTCTAGATA